CTTTCGTATTCAAACAGTGGCAAGGCAATACGCTCACTTAGGCACTGCAATTTTTACCTCGGGCTACATCAGTATGGAAGTGACTACAACACGCATAAGGGTAAGAAACTAAACACAATTGCCGTGCTCGCGTAGCATCAGGCCGACAACTACAAAGCCACCAATTGCAGGCGCGCAATAGGTGAAAATCAAAATTAGTGCTCTGGTGGTATACCCGAAGGATGTAGCGGTTGCTCCTGCATTCGATTCATCGAGAGGCGGAATTTCTGTAAATATCTTCGGACCCAGATAGGGAAGTAACACAGAGAGAGGTCCGACCAGTCCTCCCACAATCACCCACGCCGAGATGAATCCCCGTTGGAATGGGGTGCTAGCACCAGGACTGAACCAGTTGGATAGAACTCCCCACAGTGTGACAAGAATTGCGCCCATAAGAGCGAGGGAAGCAACCACGAGTGGAAGCGAGACCTGTGTCCTTTTCTCGTGGCGTTCAAGCTTTGAGCAGGCAGGTATCTGAAGGTAGACTGGTGTGCTGTCGGGTGAAGGAGTATGGGATGCAGCTGGAGTGATAATGACTGCGGTACGGGCTGTCGTATCGTTCTGAACGTGACTGTCAACCAACTCGTTGGCCCCGTCGACAAGAGATCTCTGCGGCCAGGGTATTCCCGACTCTGCACTCGATACTGCTGCCGCTGGCCGATCCCAGACGAAACGTGTGGCTCCGTCTGCGCCCACCTCGAACGAGCCCGAGCACGGATCCTCGGTACTCGACGCCACTCGCTGTTCCTCGGTTACCGTAACCAACTTCCCGACAACTCCGAAAAAGGTTCCGGAACGTTCTTGAGCCTCGAGCAAGACGTCCGACTGAACCAGGTGAAGCGCTGCGTACTCGGGAGTCAAAAAACTGCCCACAATGTTGATGAGGGTCATTATCGCGTATGGAAGAACTGTCAGCGCATAGGCTGCATAGCCATACTGCTGTATCTGTCCCCCGCGAGAGCGATACAAGGTGAAAGAGGCATAAACAATCTGTAGAGCCCCGATTGCTGCTTTGGGAATGCTGTAGCCAGAGGATACCACTGGGTCGACATCGTTCACCAAGGCCACGACTTTAGCATTGTATGGAACGAATGCGAAGGAGTAACCCTCAGGTAATCTATTGACTCCTTGGACACTGCGCGTTCCAATGAAGACGCCCAGTGTATCCTGGAATGACTGGGATGACTCGTTAAGCCAGGGGGGGGTATATGTGGTTAGAAGTATGTCGCTTTCTGGTCTGAAACCTGCTCAATACCAAGACCTGGCATTCAAAGGTTTTCGGACGACGCACCCAAGATGGGAGAGAGGTAATTCATGTTCCTTCATCACCGGACGCGGGTATACTTCGGCACCGTAGATGAGTTCTATGAGCAAATGAAGGTAAGTCAATCTTATGGTGTTGTCAATCGCATCCGCAACGCTTCCCCTACGTTGTCCTTGAGATACAATCAACGGAAGCGGAGTCCTGTGTACGAACCGAGGGGGGGGTTGGCCGCGTAGATACCCCACGAATGTAAAGACCCCTTTAAAATGCCTTCTTATGGTGTTGTTAATCGCATCCGCAACGCTTCCCCTACGTCGTTCTTGAGATACAATCAACGGAAGCGAAGCCCTGTGTACGAACCGAGGGGGGGGTTGACCGCGTAGACACCCCACGAATGTAAAGACCACTTCAAAATGCCTTCCGATTTGCGTAGACACTGGCTCCGTTTTATCGCGTACTGTCTTCAAAAATGTATCAAGTCGGATTCTGCCTGTGAATTCCAACTTTTGCAAGACCTCCACCACTTTATCTATGGCCTTTTTCATTTTGAGATTCAGCCTTTCGAAAAATTTACGAAAGGAGGCCGGTAAGCTAAGCTCAGATCAGCAGAGGACTAAGAAAAAGGAGGTGTTGCGAGTACGGACATATTGTAAAGCTCTTGGCGGTAACGTCTACGCTGCTCCATCCTTTCCTCTGACGCCGTGGACAGGGACCCTGACTTTGATCAGCCTAACTGCGATATCAAAGACGAGAAACACTCACTCGTAGCGAGACGGACACCGGATGCTCGAAATGAGTGGGTAGGTTTCCATTTCTCGTTGCGAACGACCATACACAAGGCGCCGGATCGAGCCGCACGCTCCAATGGGTCTTTGGTGACTATCGCATGTCGGGCGAAAGAGTTGAGACCACGAAACAGCCCAGAGAAAGGAAAGAACAATGCAGCGGCAAAACTTAGGAGGATTCTCGAGGCCGACTCCCCTGGATAGGACCTGACAGTAACTGCATGGGCAATATAGTTCCCTAGGAAAAAATAGAGGATATCCGGGATGGACATGGGAGTGCATTGTATGCGATCTCCCTGGTCCAGGGTAGTAATGCCTGGAACTTTGTCGATGACCTTGTCCAGCAGCGCGAACCAGCTGCCTTTGCTCACGGATGCACCGTAGAAGACGCGCTGCGCCCAAGCTGCGGTCGATCCTGCGAATTTGTTAAAACAGCTGGAAATTGATTTGCCATGCAACGCACCTTTCACAGGCCCAGTCGGGCCAAATCCGAAGAGGCTGAGGACCGGACGGAGAAGCCAGTAGTTTGGTATAAGCATCACTGCACCAAAGAACAACACACTTCCGAGCAGGTCGGGATGGTGTTCGACGAGGTCGCCTAAACACGGTCGGTGAGCGAACATACGTTTAACGCAGGCAGGCAAAAACCCGCACCGATCAACACGACCGTGGTGTGGATGGCAGGTCGCACCACTCCGTCCCAATGGGCCCGCGCGCGCTCCTCGTCCATCCCGTACTTGGCGCACACTGTCACAAGCGCCGCACCCGCCTTCTCCAGCGCTACTGCGACGGCAGCCTGACGTTCGTCGTGCCCCTGTGCGTGATCAGGCGCCGGGAACATATCCTTCAGCTCTTCCAGCACTTTCTCGAACACGCGTTGCAGATCTCCTGCGATATCGTCGAGAGACACCGCCTCGGTCTGGAACTCAGGGACGTCTCTGTTGGATTCGCGCTGAAGACGCAACTTGTGCAACGCGTGAAGCTCCTCATGGATCGCCGTCGCACCGCGCACGATCGTCCGAATGCGCTCCTCGATCTCCGCGACCTTCTGGCGCACATCCTGCGAGCGCTCTGCGGCCTGCTTCATGAGGTCCTCGCTGTAGCGCCGCGCTGCCAGAAAGCCTCTGGATTGACGTCCGTTGTGTAGAGGATCGCAGCTTCCGGGGTGCCATAACGATATTGCTGGAAGAAGTTCACTAGCGTGCTAGGGAGGGTTTCTGAGGGGCGGGCCGGGAAATAGAGTGCTAGGACCGGGCGGACTTCAACGAGACATAGGGCAAAGATACAGGCGAGAATCGGGAGGTGGAATGTCTTCAGCTGCATGGTGGTGGGGGGCGAGGAGAGAAAGGCGATGTGGAGCGGTTTCAAAGATGGCAAGATCGAAGGTCGGATATGTAAAGATTTAGACGCCAATGTTGTGAGTTGTGAATGGGCGCTTGTGAGTACAAGGTCGCCGTGTAACATAAGAGCAGCCTAGTGCCGGTGGAAACAACTTGAATGTGTCATGCTTGAAAGAAGGGCTCAGGAATTGAACAAAACCAGAGAGCTTTTCAAGGAAATCCAGCATTGGACAATCTGTTTGCCGCACCAGTTCCGCGATACCTATAATAGGCGCCTGATATACTTTACCACATTTAATTACGACAGACACCGCCAGAGTGGCGCGCGGAGAGTCGCATCTTGAGAAAAAAGAGCTTCGGCGTAGTCGAGATGAGAGGATCGGAGTAATCCGGACAAGATCCCACGGTTGGTCTTTGGTTGGACTATGTTTTTGAGTTCAGCTCATACCAAGAAAGACGTACAAAATCTGGCCGCAACGAAAGAAACAGAGAAGATGAATGCTAGGAGGGGGAGATAACAGGTCTTCAGAAGCATGGTAGTGCGGGAGAGGAGAGATGGGCGATGCTCTGTTTATAGCGTCCAATCGTCAGCACGTTCCACGATCGAAGATCTATTAGACGCCCATGTTGTGGCGACAGGCGCTTCGAGAGTCTGGGTAAAGAAGTTCAATTTGCGCAGGCGAGAGTAATCGGTCAATACATTCGAATAAAGGCACCGGGTGCAAGGAAGAAGAAAGCAGCTCTTGAAGGAAAATAAAACATTCGACAGTATCTTCGCATCCGAGTCGATGATATCAGGCGCCCGCTGTACCACTCGGAAGCAATCAAGTGGGTCCGTGAGTGGGTCCTAGAGTACATGCCAGTTATATCAAGCGGACCACGAAGCTGGAGAGCGAGGTTTGAGAGTCCTCGAGGTGCGTCGAGGTAAGAGCCAAGAGGCGCGGCCACGTGAGAATCGGAACAATGATCCGGATCATTTCGTCCCACGGTTGATTTTACTTGATTTCGCTCACTCTTCCGTCTGTAGCGTGCCATATGTTAACTTTCGCCGCGTGCTCCCATCAACTCCCACCAAATAGGGCTGCAGGCAATATTTGAGGTTGAAAGCACAGTGATTTGCAACCGGGCGTTGGGTGTACGCAATTTGTTCAATCATCCATGTTTCAACCTCGCTCCAAGATACTTCATATACCATATTCAACAGTTTAATGGTATCATTCAAACAAACCCGCAAGTCCAAGATGTTTATCTACTACACCCATTCGGTAACTTCTGCGCAAGGTCTCCGTTCGATTCGGATCCAGTTGGGTGGTCTGCTTGTAGTCTCCGCGAATTTTTTCACCGCATGCCTATTCATCAGGCTTTTGCAAGCGTGGTTGAACCCTAAAAAACTCTGTGGAGACATGTAGCAAGGCTCGAGATGGACCGAGTTTGTTATATCAATTTTCCTTAGGAACATAAGACTCCAACTGCTATGCGATACATGCGATACGTTGATGTGATGCCATGGTTATTGACTCCTCCCCACCGTATCAGAACCCCTCATATTGAATTATTGAAAACCTGCAGACACACCTGGTAGCGCATGGTGTGCGTCTGCATGGTTTTGGTGAATAAGGTTGAAGGTATTTCTGCAGAAGACCCCCGTTCGATTCGGGGCCGGGTGACTTAGCCTTTTCTCTTTGAGTTTTTTTTTTGTGTTCCGAAATAAATCCTCTGCCTCCTTGCTCACTCTTCGTTATTGAAATCCCGCTCGCTGTAAAGGTGGTCGATGGATATGCTTTTCGAGCGAAGTTCAAGATCAAATAACCTAAAACCAAAATCAATTCGGCTTCACCCAGCACTGGCACTCCAGATAGCCAATACCCCATGGAAAAGAAACACTCGGTAGCACACGGTGTGCATCTGCAGGATATATACGTTAAAGCGTCAAATCAAAAAGTTTCCGCAGGAGGTCCCTGTTCGATTCGGGGTCGAGTGGTTCACTTTTTTTCTCTTTTGGTAAATACTGCATAGTTGCTCGGTAAACTTGACTTCTCACGATGATTCCAAATCTACATATTGTGGGCCCGGGAAGGACAGTGAGCGTTCTCACTCGATAATGATATTATCCCACAACCAAAACCAACACAGTTTCACTGGCTGATCCCAGCGCAGCACACCTACCTACCAATTGTTCGAAACCTTGTAGGAACACCCACATGGTGTGTCTCTGCGGGTGTGTATTTCTTGCAGTCGATTCCGTCCGCAGGAGTTCCCCGTTCGATTCGGGGTTGGGTGGTCCGACTCCCCTTACTGCTTTTTTCTCTCCTCGATTTTTTTCACATTCATCAGGCTTTTGGAAACGTGGTGCAACCCCAAAAAATCTGTGGCTAGCATGGCTCGAGATGGACCGAGGTTGTGACAATTTTTCCTTAGGAACAAATTCACTCCACATGTTATGCGGATGCGATACCATGGTCCACCCCGCCCATGGCATCAGAACCCCTCATATTGAATGATTGAAAGCTTGTAGAGACACCCGGTAGCGAGTGGTGCGCGTCTGCATGATTTCGGGATGATCGACTTTTCTGCAGAAGACCCCCGTTCGATTCGGGGCCGGGTGACTTACCACTGATCTGGAATTTTTTTTGTGCGCCGAAACAAATCCCTCTGCCTCCTTGCTCACTCTTCGTTATCGAAATCCCGCTCGTTGTTAAGGTGAGGTGTTGACAGATCTGTCTTTTGAGCGAATTTGAGATCAAAATCAACTCGAGTTCACCCAGCCCTGGCACTCCAGATGGTCGATATTACCCAGGGGAAAAGAGTGGTTTGAAACACTCGGTAGCACATGGTGTGCGTCTGCAGGATATGTGTGCTCGAAAGATGTTTCCGCAGAAGGTCCCCGTTCGATTCGGGGTCGAGTGATAGTGGCTTCAGCAAGATTTTCTCTTTTCTTTATGTTGCATAAGTACACATCTGCTTATTCTCATTATGAGAAGGACGACGGTGTGAGTTGACAACCAGCACACAGTTACACCGACTGATCCTAGCGCAGCATATTTACCACTAAGTTCGAGTTCGAAAGCTTGTAGGAACACCCAGTGGCACATAGGATGCATCCGCGGATGCGTATTTCTTCTACAGAGAGTAGAATCCTTCTGCAGAAATGCCCTGTTCGATTCGGGGCTGGGTGATTCAAATGTGTGGACCAATTTTTGGTTATAGCTAATCACGATTGATATTCATTCCCATGGAGAGTCCGCAGTCTTCGTATACATTTCTGGAGCAGGATAAACAAGTATGCCCGTGAAAGCGGAGAGCCAAGAAAGCGGCGAGTCTCCGGGGGCCTCTACAACGATAAATATCAAGGCTTCAGGTGGCGTATGAGATAATCGCATGGCTTCCAGACTGAGAGGAGGCGGCGCATTAGGGTGTTTCACACATCCCAACTTGAGCCCCAACTTGACCCCAACTCGGACCCCAACTCGACCCCAACTTCGCCGAGTTGGGGTCCGAGTTGGGCCTCAAGTTGGGGCAGATGTGTGAAACACCTACAGCTTATTTCCCAACTTCGAGCCCCAACTCACTCCGCTATTTCTGGGTTTTTCAGGGTCATGAAGCAAGTTTATTCTCTTTTCCCAAGTCTGACGTTGCTTACATGTACTGTACCTGAAACCTCGATGGTGGAAAAGTTGTCATTTTTTGGTTTGCAGCGAGTGGGCATGGCTCAAGTTTGCATTGCTTTCCAAAAGTTCGATTTTTAGGCTAGTTACCTCAATGCATTTGACCGTTGGGAGGTGGCGGGCGGGCGGGAGGGCGGCGGGAGGTGGAATTACATAATCCGATATGCGGCAAATGGACCGAAGTTAAACGAAGTTGGGGCATCAAGTTGGGGCACCGAGTTGGGGTCGAAGTTGGATGTCAAGTCGAGGGGTTAGGCACGACTTGACATCCAACTTGGACCCCAACTTGATTTGTGCCCCAACTTGGTCTCCGAGTTGGGGTTCGAGTTGGGGTCCGAGTTGGGGCTCGAGTTGGGATGTGTGAAACACCCTATTGGCTTCCAGAGGAGATAGCACAGCGCCAAAGAGTTGCAAGCTGACACGGACGAACATCAGAGCACCAAAGCGGCCGCAAGCGAAGTTCGGTGTCGCAAAAGATGAGCGGCGCCGTGCAAGTCCTTGACGGACAACCCGGGTCTCTTCGAGGATTTGAATTTTGATTGAAGACTCGAGGTTTCAAGCTCAGAGCGCCTGAGGTGTCTGTCCGAGTACAGGGTAGGTATCTTGAATGACCTGCAATGGGGTGAAGTCGACAGCTCAGAGCACTTGAAGACACTGGTCGGTTCGGTCGAAATCCAAACCTGCGAGTGACGAGTCGGACGAAGCAAGTAGCTTGGCAAGATTCCTTCCAGCGAAGAGGTTCAAGTCGTATACATTGTGGGCGGACAGTCCCGTGTCTCATCACATCACCGCCGCCACCGGGAGCTCCATCTACTTACCTCCGTTCGCCGTTCATCCGTTTCCGTGTTTCCGTGTTTCCGTGTCATGCAAGCTGTTTTCTGCAGCGATTCGTGCCGTGTGAAAATCAGATGTTGACTGTTTCTTTCCTTCCTCGACTTCCTCGAAGCCAGCTCCACGCACGCCGTGCGTGAATGACAACAAGTCAACAACCCCCGGTGATAGCATATGTAGTGTCGCAATTAATGGAGACCAGCAGGTCTCTATTTAGTGTGGGAAAATCCTTTCCTTGACCCGTACGACGATGCCCCAGCTTCAGCTACCCAGTGGACACGACTGGGCCTTTGTAGACGCCAACAAGGACGGCCGTACGACGCTGTTGTGTCTGCATGGCTTTCCTGACCGTGAGTCGCCTTTGAATACATTCAAAGCACCCAGTGTCATCATCCTAAACAGTCTCGTACGGCTACCGGCACCAAATAGGTCCCTGGGCCCGCGCAGGCTTCCGCGTCGTCGTGCCCGACATGCTGGGCTACGGCGGGTCCGATGCCCCCGTTGACCCGGCCCAATACACCACAAAGCGTCTTGCAGCCGATCTCGCGGCGCTGCTGACCGCACTTGGCGTCAAGCAAGCCGTTGTGATTGGGCATGACTGGGGCAGCTTCATGGCCGGCCGCTTCGCGTTGTGGCATCCAGATCGTGTGCTAGGCCTCGTCTTGTGCGGACTAGTCGATTTCCTCGAGGTTTTAAAGGCTAATGTGACGTAGGATGAGCTTACCGTACAGCCCTCCTGGACGCAACCTGCTGTCCCTCGAACATGCCGTCGAACGCGCGCCCAACCTCGGGTACCAACTCTACCTGGCGTCACCGGCAGCTGCGCCAACTATCGAGGCGAATGTGAGTTTCTCTGAATATTTATTCTGGCACGGATCTTAACCCCCCTCCCAGCTTCCGTATTTCATCGCCACCACCTTCGCCCCGCCATATGCCCCAGTGGACTTCACCCCCCGCGGTGCCATCGCTGCCCTCCTCGCCGCGGCCCCTCCCCCCGCCGCCGTCGCGGAACTGCCCTCCATGCTAACCCAGGCCGAGCGCGCGCTCTACTGCGCCGCATTCCGCGCCCGTGGAATGACCGGCCCGACGAACTACTATCGGACGACGCGGTTACGCGCCACGGAGGAAGCGGAAGCTGCTGCTGCTGCGTCGACGTCCCCGCCAGGTCCCTCCGACGACCAGCTCGCGCACGCCATCGAGCTCACGCGCGAGGCCGTCCAGCTCGACTACCAGCCCGCGGTCAAGGCGTACGAAGGCCGCAGTGCCGCGCTCCTTGGCGAGGTCGTCCGCGGTGAACCACACCCGCCTCCGCGCAGCGCCATGCGGGTGGACAGGCTGAAGGGGATTGTGAGTTGCCCCGCGCCATTCGCTTTCATACGTGCACTGACCTACCCCACGTGAAGCCGCAGCAGGAAACATGTGCAGACCGCATGGAAATCCTGCGCATCATCCAGGACGGCCCCTCCTCCTCCTCCTCCTCCTCCTCCTCCTCCGCCGCCTCGGACACCCGGCACCCTGGGCCCGCCTCGGCCTCGGATATACCATCGCTCACGTCCTCTCAGTCGAATCATTCCCAAAATCAAAACGCAACCACTGCCCCCGCCCCCGCGCTCGCCCTCCCCCCCGTCCCAGTCCTCTCCGTGCACGGCACGCGCGACGCCACCATCCCCCCCACCGCGCTCGCCGCCCAGCGCCGCGCCATCCCCCCCGCGCGCCTCGCCGAGCGCGTCTTCCAGTGCGCGGGGCACTGGGTGCTCGTCGAGGGGGTCGATGCGGCGGCGGAGTGCGTTGATGTTGGTGTTGGTGTTGGTATGCAGGATGCGGCCGACCCGCTCGCGGGGTGGCGGGCGGCTGTCAGCGCGGGGGCGTGGCGGGACGGGACGGGGGACGGCGGGGCGGTGGGGCGCGCGGTGGTCGAGTGGCTGAAGGCTGTGAAGATCTCGGCTGGCAGAGCGCGCCCGAGGTTGTAAGCTGCTGGGAGTGGAAAATCGGAAGAATGTGTGTTGTACTTTTTTTCCTTGAGTGGACATTCTGATATGTATTTTTTTTGTAATACGACGCTCACGAAACGATGTAACGAAACAATTATAACTTTTTTTAAATGGTTGCGGCAGCAAGACACGGAGTTCCTTTTGGTGTTTTTAGTTTTTTCTTCTTTGCTTGGCTACTCACGTTTGGAATTCCTGCTTCGCCCTGGCGGTTTCGTGTCGGGGCCGCGTGGATGAAGCACGAGAAAAGACACATGAACTCGAAATTTCATTGAAGCAGCACGAGGAAACCAGCTCGTCACAACAATTGCACAGTGAAAATCCCCTTTGGGTCCCACTCCTTCTTCAGACGCTTCAACTTCCCGAGCCGCTCAGCACCTCTGTATCTGCGCTGCAGCGGTTCGTCTCGAGACCAGTTCTGGAACGCTGCCTCATTTTCCGCGGCCTGTCCTTGGCGCAGCAAAGCGAGCACTTCTTGCTCGATGCGGTATACTTCG